ACGACATTCGACGACACGTCGTCACCGTCGGATGCAATTTAGCACACTCCTGCGTGTAATGATACCCATTTGACAATCGTGTCGCGAAACGCGACACGTGATATTTCTTATTTACGAACGATTGAATAGGTTTCTTTCGTGGAGAACGAGCGCCTCGTAAACAGTCGTAAATCGCACGTAGAACGAAAAGGAAAGGCGGAAAACGGTACATACGCAGCCGAAGAATTCGAGCACGTAACCAGCTTACGAAAACGGAAACTTTGATGAAATGGACAGCTTCTTACCGGCAATCCGTAAGACGGCTCTGTCGGCGGGATCGAGCTGCAGGATACTCAACGGTTTGTCCTTTACCCATTCCTTCAGACTTCCGTCCAGCTCGAACTCCATTATCTGATACGTTGTTGGCAGCGGTTACCTTTTTCATTTACACCATATTCGTGCGGCTCCTCTCCTTGCACTGTTTCACAACCACTAAAGCAATTTCACAACCGCGACACGGAGCCAGAACGTTACGTCGTCTTCGTTCGATATCGTTCGCGACAGGCGAGCGTTGCACCGTGAACTAGCTCGATTGTAGTTATCGACAGCGGGCAGCTGGCGACTTTGCACATGCTACTTGACACATCGTCCCGCATCGAGCCTTCCCCTGTCAATTTCTATCCCCGATTCTTCCTTAAAGTTGTATCCTTGGAGTGTGAAATGGTTCAGTCGATCAGGAAGCACGTGGAAATCGAATCCTCCGTGCCGCGCTTTTATTTACTACGCGACGCCGGCCGTGTAGGACAACGGTAGCGTACCGTCGCGTAATAGTGCACCAACTGCACGCTGCAACGAACGGAAGGAAGAGGTGAGAAGGAGACGACGAACAGGGAAAGCGTACGACGTATGGGGCGTTCTTTAGACGACGTACAGCGATTGCTTGACGATGGGGAGCGACGGAATAGCGGGCAGACGATAACAACCCGACTAACGTGCTTCCTGCACGCCGATAATCAGCGATACTTCGTTTCCTCGTCGTGAGCGGCGCTTAGGTCAAGTTAGACACTTGGTTGAAAACTTGGTGGGCCAGGCTCTCGACCATCCGCAGTCGGAACCACCTCGAATTCCTGTCGTTGCTAGTCGTTTCCAAGACCTTTGCCCACGATCCTCGGATTCTTTGATGTTTCACTTGTCGAAATATCTCAGTCTAGTTATGCCACCGCCTTCGCTGTCGTCTATACCGCTGATCTCTTCCGGAAACATTCTACGAATACAAATGAGAAGATATTAATAGTCGTTTTATATCGAGCTCCATTCGAAATTAACAAACAAAGTGGAGTATATCAGGTGGAGCAATTAATTCTTTGCCCCTATATTCAATTTATTTTTCAGGTATATCTAATTTAAGGTCAGGTTACACCAATGAAACGTTTTTTTAAATAAATTTTGTTTATAGTAAAAAAAATATTTCAGAATCAAACTTTTTACAGTTGAAAGTACATATATTAAATTATTTGAAAAAAAAAAAAAATTTTGTTTTTCTTTTTTTTAAATGGCGGCTCTGAAAATGGCTACTTAAACTCGTCCAATTATTTGTTTGCGGTCATCATTGTTGTCATCATTTCTTGGAAACGAATCATCTGAAAGCAAAAAATAAAACGGTTTCATATTCTGTATTGAATTGGCTATGGTCGGTACTACAATGAAACATTTTCACAGAAAAAAAAAACAAAATGGCGGACTTTTGAATTTTTCGACCCTTTTTTTCCACTTTTAATTGTTTATAACTTTTTCAAATAACAATGAATATATCAGGTTGTAGTACCGACCATAGCCAATTCGATACAGAATATGAAAACCATTTTATTTTTGGCTTTCGGATGATTCGTTTCCAAGAAATGATGACACCCACCAACAAATTGGACAAATTTGAGCAGCCATTTTCAGAGCCGCCATTTAAAAAAAAGAAAAACAAATTTTTTTTTTTTTCAAATAATTTAATATATGTACTTTCAGCTGTAAAAAGTTTGATTCTGAAATATTTTTTTACTATAAACAAAATTTAGTAACGAAACAGGTTTTATTGGTGTAACCTGGCCTTATACTGAAGTATTCGCCTGCCATTTTGTTACATTCAAGTATTAGGTTGTCCCAATAGCTACTTTCGTAATTTGCACTCAATTATTTTGTGTGGCAGTGCTTATAGAAATAGACAATCTAATTTCTTAGATGTTGATGTTGTAACAGTAATGGAGCTTAATGAATCGTGCACAATTCAATAATGTAACATTAGACGTAAAATATTGTGTATGTATTACTTATTAACACGTTGATCGCCACGTCACCCATATATGGGTGACAATGCTTTTCACTGAAAAAGTACGAAAATTAATTCTGAAAGTTAAGTGTCACAGAAAATGTATTTAAATGAAATGCTTGAACTTTGATGAAGTTACAAAACTAAATACCACAATAAATGTTTCATTATGCAGTTTCCAATAGTCTGTAAACAAAGTTTAATCACAGTAGAAATTTTTAAGAGTATTAGTCTGGCAGTGAACGTGTTAATAAAACGAAAGAAACTGTTGGGACAACCTAATACAAATTTTCATGAAAAACACAGGCTGCTTTGACACTTGTTTTTACTCCAATATATGTTCTCTTGGGAGATCATGTGTGGTATAATTTCTTTTTTAAATAAATGATACGTTTACCATAGAAAGGCATAGAATTAATTTCTAGGCCTAATATAAATGACTGACTATTATTATTTTCATATCGACCTAAATTATAAATAACTTAAGATCAATCTGACGTTTTACTCTTGAAAAATGAACAATGCTTATATCGCTATTTTTAACTCCTCGCTTAAAACAAAAAAAAAAACTGACTCTCCAGCGAAACGTGTACGTCTTGGAAACCCGCGAACACGTATAGAAGAGGGAGTGCACGACGTTGCGTTAATATTTTAGTAATCGCGTTATGACTCAGACCCGGGGGGAGAAAGCGATATTTTCCGCCGATCGGCGCTTTCTACAGACGTTTCCAAGAAAAATTTGTAAAACAAGCGATTTCTCTGAAATTGGGCGTTATTAAAGTATCGAACGTGCTTCTCGCTGCAACAATTTTTATCCGCGTTAAATGCAGAACATACGGTTAAAACGATACCAAATCGGACGAGATCAGATACAAAGAGCCGGAAACGGACGTGATAACAACACGCGAAGCCGAATTGATTCCCCGCGAGGCATTAAAAAATTAATACATGCGTAAATTCTTCGTCGCATAGATCATCGTTCTACTTTCAAACGGAGCTACTTGCTTACTGATACGAGTGATTAAAATATGCGAACCTTGAAAGTCTTACAATTGAATTCGAACAATGTTGATCGAAATGTGACAATCCCTCATTAATAATTGTATTCGAAAATTCATATATGCCGAAACATTTAACGGTAAAATTTCACGTTGTTTCGCTTGTTTGTTTTCACACTACAACAAAGGAAACATGAACATCCGTTCTATATTCGCGACTCAAAAGGCTTCAGTTCACGCGCACGCGACCACGAGAAGTAATTTTTCTCTCCCCCCACCCCCCTTTCTCTCTTTATTCTTTCAGTCAAATTTAGAGCGTTGTCCAAACGTAAGAACACAAAAAATACGTTCAGACATCGCAGCTGCTGAACAACCAAACAGCGAGAAACGTACCGCATTCAGGGTTTGATTACTCAACGAACCAAAGAATATAACACGATTACTTGAGGTTAAACCTAACCTAATTGCTCCTAAACTCTGTACAATGAAACGGGCAAAAATCCTGCGTATTTGCCTGTCGTTAAGAGTTACGCGAAACTTTACAATAGGGTTATAAACTGTATCCTTTAATTTCTCGCAAGATGTACAATAGTGTACAACCATCGGAGTATAGGAGCAATGTGCGATATTACCAAGAACCAGCGACATCTACGAAAGACGTACACGCGACTAAGATAAACGTAACTCCGAAAATAATGAAAAGTAGCTGCGGTTCGTTCACATGTATCGTCTCGAATCTTGACCCAAACAACGAGTTCGACCTAATATGATATGGACGAAACAATATTCTAATCCCCTTAAATCAATTTATAGAATTGATAGAATAGAATCATTAAAATTCGCGTAAAGGTAACGAGACGAAAGAATAGGAAGGATGTGCATTACCGTTCGATCATCTGTCGAGCCGATGCGAAACCAGGAAAAATCAATGTTCACCGGTATTCTCCTTCAAGTTCTTCGTCAACAACGTGGCAACCCAATTCGAAGAATATCCTTCCACGATTTCTTATACACTTTCCAACAGGAACCACTACCTGCTCGCGCGCAGGGACATCGCATTATCACTTATCATAGCAATTTTCGCGTTAGAAATACGACCCGGTTCGGTCTGACGACGCGTCTAGCAGACGACATTTTGCTTTTCGCGAACGTATCCGAAGTGCGACGAGAGTTCCCGAGCGTTCGTAACTCGACTAGATTCAACTGGCTCTGTGGCTCCACCGCCCCGCATGACGTGCATTATTTCGAATTGTTTATCATACTTTAATTGTCTATCTAATCTTTATTGTTGTTTCGCTTATTACTTTGTTCACTTCCAACTACTTTCCCACTTATAAGTAACTTCCTTGTTTTGTTATAAAAGACGTGTTCATTTAGAATTTTCTTTATAAAGTAACATAAAAAATAAACGAAGGAATGTGAAATTTCACTGTTTTCTAAATAATACATTTTTTTTAAATCCTGCTTAAAATAGAACGTGCTTGACATGTATAATCTTTTTCCCTTTCTGTTTTTTATGTTGTTAATTCCCCCCTCCCCTTGGAGTATCGTAAAACTCTCTAAGAAAATAAAACAGATCAAGATGGAAGGATAGGAACGGAACAATTGCAAACGTACGGTTGGTTCGAAACATTAGGATCAGTGATAATGCAGTAACTTTCGAGTACTGATTATTACCAATAAGTTATTACTGAAATGTCCATGTATTATCGTGTTTGGAATTGTTATTGATCTCTATAGAAGGCTTAAGGCTAACACATACAACTTTTGCATATACATAAATGTATGGAACGCATCTGACATCATACCTATAAAGGCTGACATCAATTTTTCACCGAGAGGTGGTTACTGTAACCGCCACTGCCATCGGCCATTCATATAGTGGCGAACGATAGCCTTCGCAGCCACTTGTATCGTTTGATGTCACCGCTAAATAAAGTGACTGACACGGTTGGTAAATACCAGGAGGACGGTGTTTCGAGTAGCACCTATTCCATAATTAGATGCTTATTAAGAGATTCGTTGAAAATCAGTTTCAAAGTCCAATCCATTAAGAGCGATCTTATCACGCATTTAAGAATGTGCTAACGATTTACGCGATTGATCTAAAGCTTATTAATTTTATCTTCAGATATTTGAAGTTTCTCGTCATCTACAGGTTTAGATAAATCTGGGACCGAATTATTTCGACTAGTATGCTTTTCTTGTAATTTTAAAATTTTATCGTCTTTCTGCTTGATTGTATCTTTTAAATTCTGTATTTTACGACGATATTTACGTTTCATCTGACGTACTCGGAGCTCTTGTAATTTTATACGCTTCTCGACAGATTCAACTTGATGTTTCGCGCCTTTTTGGACGTTCTGAAATTATAATTTATTTATTACTCCGACATATTATTAATATTATGTATATGTTGTACGCACCTCCAGTTGATTTTTTAATCCATTCACTCGGCTATTAATGGTTTTTCCAAGACGATCGATGGTTGCATTTTCTTTTTCCGTTTCACGCAAAAGGCCTAGTAACTTTTCCCTCTCTGTAACAATCCTTTCGTACTCGGAAAACAATTCTTCGCAATAAGCGGTTGCCTTATTCAATTGTTCTTTCAACGAATCACGTGAAACGCGTGTTGAATATACAAGGGTTTGTATGTTCTCATATTTACGTTGTGTGCGCCTAAAACAAATCTACATACACTTTACCATGCGAATGAGATGAACAAATATTATATGTCGCAAAAAATGACGGATAACTTACTTGAGATTGCTTTCTAGTTTGTCAACGAGGATTTTTAAATGATTTCTTTCAGCTGTAATCATTACGAGTTGTTTTTCATTTTCTGGCTGATTTTCTTCCATACGTTTTATATGATTGCATAAATTACGTTTTTCGCTCTCATATTGATGCTTTAATTCTTCCAATAACGTCCTACATTCTTCGATAGCAGTAGTATGAACGATAGCAGGGACTGTTTGCTCCTCTTTATTTTTAACCTTTTCGAACTCTTTGCTTAAGATCTCGTACTTTCCTTTGAGATTGCTCAGTTCTGATGCACTAATTGTGTGTTCCTTTTTAAGTGCTTCATTACGTTTTAAGATTGCTTCCATTTTTGCTTCGTACAGCGAACAAATTTCTTTTGCTTCTTTCTTGAGACCTATAGTTTCTTTTTGCAGGATATCATTCTGTTTTTTCAATGACGCACTATTCTCAACCAATGACTTTATTTCCTGTGCATACCTGGCACACTCTATCCTCAAATTTTCCACTTCTTTATGCATAAGTTCGTTCTCTGCGACTATTTCTTTACATCTGCTTCCAAAATCGGCCATTTCTTGCTCATACATGTTCACCAATTCTTGTTTTTCTGACAAGTTTTCTTGATAAGCATTTAAAAGTGGACCCAATGTATGAAAATTAATACCACCCCAAACGTGTTGATTGTACTTTTCTGCTTTTTCATTATTTTTTACGAAGTCTGTTCCAAGTTTTTGGTCTTTTAATTTGTCTTGATATCTTTCTAATTCAGCATTTAGCTGGTAAACGATACATTTTAATAATGCTACATCTTCGCTTGATTGAATTTTCTCAGCCTCAAGTTTTCTATTGTATTTTACCAAATCAACTCTTGTGTCTTCCATTTCCTTCATCATTTGTACTACTGTTTCGTATCTCGAACATACTTGATGATACTCTGCTTCTCGCTCTTCCATTAAACTATTTAACTTTCGACACTCATCTTGAACATTCTTGTAGCATTTATCTAATTTGTGATACTCCTTAGCTATTCTCAATGTATCTTTTGAAACATGTTTGTCTCTTATTCTTGAAGAAATAATACCTAAGAAAGTAACAAGTAACATTTTAAATATTATCTTTACAAAACAAACAGAATATTGTACTATATATATAATAATACCTGAGTCTGCATCACCTTCATCAAACATTTGTTGTTCATTACTTTCCTTAGACAATCTCCTATTTCTTCTACATCTATTGCTTTTAGTTGTCAAAGGTATGTCACCTTCGTAATCATTACCATCTTCGGTTACATAGTCTGGTAAATCTTTGCAAGCATTGTGCATTTTAAACATATGTCTAGCTTTTGAAACGCGTCTGCGACGATAAACTGGTTTATACGTCGTTTCCAAATTGTCTTTTGTGACAGACATTTTTTACAACTGTGTAATGACAAACGGTTGAATAGAAAGAGGTTAAGTACTTCGAATGATTTATATAATTTCTTATTCAACGTGATTAGAAAGTATCGTATCAGTTTCTAATGCCAAAACAAATTGCCTTTCCTTGTTCGATACTGCTTTCGCAACTAGTCATTGTCGTGTCTCATAATTTACGACTGATAAGTATGGTTAACAAAATTGTTCAACCAGGATTGTTTGACGTACACGAAAATAGGATAGTATGGACTGTATCGCTCACCAAAGTCATCACAAACTTATATATCGAGTATAAAACGTACACGCGTTCATTATGATTGAATATTATTATTAATTTCCACGATTGTATGCCAGTCATTGCCATGACAACTAAGTAATCAAACTAATATATCGAAATTATCCACCAGATGGTGCTACGCAAACGCAATTTTCCTATCTCTGGCTTATTTAATTATTTACAATCTATTCCTCTATTTAATTACTTATCTACCAAGTTTAAGGGATTACAACGGATTAAAGTCTAAATTCTTTTGTACTTCATGTGTATCTCTTAATCTCCAAATTTTCCACATTCTATAATATTCGTTTACAAATTCTACCCATCTATATATTATTACCACCAAATTATGTCAACAATTTTTACTCAAAATATGATAAACTTGGCGTGTGGAAAATTCACGTAAACAACGTTTTTGTCGTATAGAGTTACCGTCTGAGAAGGTAAAAGCGATTACTATTATCAGTATTTGCGCGTTCGAACGCAGCAGCTTGCGTAGAAGCAATTCGAAACGTCCTCGAACGTCTATCGATTATGAAAAATGATCGGAATTTTCCAAAGAATATGTTTTTCGACAAATAATGCCTTTCGTTAATGGTATCACAACACCGAATATCACGGTGCTTACCTAACTCTCGATACGAAAAGTTAATAGGGTGGAAAAGCCATTCGATATACGTACACACGCACACACGTCTCCATTACCCTGCAAAAAAAGAAAATTTTATTCCTGGTTGCTCGTTTTTCAATTGAAATTACTCGTGAATAATGATAAAGGAGCACTCTCACGACGACGATAAATGAAAGAAACATTCTTTTACCGACTGAATACACGAAGAAGCCAAAAACACGAATCCTTAACGTGTTATTTGCATTAACCGTGACTACTAAACGTGCCTCGTTTGGTTCCCAGTTAAAACTCGAGATATCAGTATCGTCAATACGTGCGTATCACAATGGAACAAAGACGATCCGCTCGTGCATACGATCTCCGTTTGATATTACCAGTCCGACTGATCCTGAAGAAAACATACGAGCGCACACAATTCAAAAAACCGAATACTACCATCGACCTGGCAATTCTTTACGCGAAACATTGCGAAACCACATTCTAGGTAACTGTCGTTGTAAATCTACTTTTATTCTCGAGGTTACTACAATTACCTTCTGATAAGACCACAATGATAGCGCCAAGCGAAATTATTAACTGTCGCTTCAGCTTGTCTTCGCGATGCGAATAAAAACGTCGGGAATTCGCGCAAACATAGACAGATCGCGGCGAAAGTTTCTTTGAAATTTCACCCGAGCATTTCCTCGCGGATTTTTGGCGTTGAGCCCAAACTACGATTGATTCGACGCTATGACGAAAGGTACAGTGAAGCATGAGAATTTTTGCGTGGAACGGACGGAATAACGTTTTAGAAATGTGAGATTTTTTAAGTGTAGCAAAGGTATCGTTTTCATTTGATAAGTGGCAGTGGGAGGTGCGGCAGATTTCACTCTCGTCTGCTTCGGGTATCAATTTTTTTATGGATGAATATAAAAGTAAACAATCTTATCGAGTAGTATCTCAACGAGGAAGTTTCTAATAATCTTAACGATCACAGTGGATCTAGTATTTTATTAGAGAAGATAAGGGAAAGTGTGTTGTCTATAATTTAATAAAAATTGAAACATGTCTTGGCACGAGTGTTACATAAAGAGTTTGATAACTCTCTTAACTGATATACATATATGTATGCATACAGTCCGTGGGTGAGAAGAATGTAATCGGAGATGTCTGTGGATTTCATCGTTTTATCTCAGTAACTCTAGAAAGACTATAGGTCTATTTATAGTCAGAGTACATAATCGGATTAAACGACCTTCTTGTTCGGAATTTTAAAAGAGGGAAGACGGTCCATATTGCTTCTTCGCGGCGGAATGGATTTCAATGCAACTTCATGTTTAAGTTACTTACTTCCCTGCTAATGTCTAATTCAATTTTGAGTAGATCAATAAATAATAATGATTACCAATTTGTTTGGTATTTCTAATATCTATTCCGTTAAAATTTAACAATATACTTTGAACAAATCTCGAATATTAAATTTCGCATAAAAACGTTAAATAAACCTTGCCCGTTCTTCTTTAATAAGATACTACTCTCATAAAATTTCTGATTGCGCGTCCGATCATGATACCCTGAAATTTATATATAATTAATTTATACCGTTTAATGGCATCAGACGTATCCATCGAAGGGAAAATATTTTTACAAGCATCTTCGAATAAAATAGTCTCCTTCTTCGCAGCGCTATGGTTGCTTGGCTGGCTAACGCTGTTGATCGCATCCAGACACGGCGAGGGCCAACAATGCAATTATTACCAAGATATGATCGCTGGCACCACGTACTACGTTTACAACCCGAGTTATCCGAATTACTATCAAGGATCTCAGTCGTGCATCTGGACCCTGAGGAGCCCCACTCGAATCAACTTGACCTGCTCTGTATTTGAGTTACCAGACGTAAGATCGAAGTTCTTTCTCAAAATTGATGCGAAATAGGTAGTATCAAGCTTTTATTAGGTTGTCGAAAAAGTTTCTTTCGCTTTATTAATAAGTAATACATGCACATTATTTTATGTTTTATGTTACATTACTGAATTGTGCACGATTGATTTTGCTCCATTACTGTCACAACATGAATATCTATGAAATTAGATTGTCTATTTAGAGAAACACAACCACATAAAATAATTGAGTGCAACTCGCGAAAGAAACTTTCGGGACAACCTAATACAAATCGAAGAACGAAAGTAGTAGTCTATACTAATATTATAAAGAGGAAAAATTGTTTTTATGTAGCGAGTCACCTCTGGAACTACCGAACCGCTTCATAAAATTGTTCAAGATCTAGAAAGCTACGATATCTCTAGGCTATATTTTCCTTGAATAAAAATAAGTTTTCAATTAAAAGTCTTAATATTTATCAAAGCTAAGGCAACAGGAAATATCGATTGGAAAGTCTCGGTTACGGAAAGGAAAATACAGTCACGGGTGAAACCGCGAGGTGCTGCTGGTAACTGATAAAAATGACCTTTACAGACCCAGAACTGCGCCGGGGACAGAATGGCCGTCCAAATAAGTCCAGACACCACTCAACTGTACTGTGGCTCGAAGACATTCAGTGTGGAGTCTGAAAGTGAGGAGATGATCATCACGTTAACAGCGTACGGATGGACACGGGGTCGATTCCTTTGCATAGCGGGAACTACCACCAATGTCGAGCCTTGTCGATGCGGATGGAAGAATCCTGTACGTACTTACTAGGCCTGCAGGAAAACTCGGATATTTCGAGCTACTCTCAAGCCGAGCCGAGTCGAGTCTCACTTTTCGATCCGAGCCGAGTACTCGAAAGAAGCGAGCGCCTCGAAAGAACCTAGTAAAGGTCGATTCAGACTATACGACACGGATCTACTCGGTCCTGTCGAACCGCTGGCTTCTTTCGAGTACTCGGTTCGGATCGGTCATTCGATCTCGAGTAAAACTCGACTCGCCTTTTCCGAGTACTCGACAGCCCTACAACTTACACCCTTGCATCCTATACGAAAAATAGTTCCCTATCATTGTCTAGAAAAAATTCTTCGAGCGTATCATGATGATTGTCCACAGTCTAGAATTGTTGGTGGCACGGAGACAGGGGTGCACGAGTTTCCTATGATGGCTGGGATGGTGGACGCTACAACACGACGCGTGTACTGCGGTAGTACCATAATATCCCCTTCGCACGTGGTGACGGCAGCTCATTGCATCGTAAACAGAAATATCACGACGATTGGAGTTGTGGTGGGCGAACACGACCCATACACAGGTGACTGGTATAATTAAAACTTCTTTCGTGTTCTAATCAGAATGATTTTAATGTTTCCAGGGACAGACACGAATGCCACGGTGCTGTATCGCGTCAAGAGCGTCATCATCCACCCGGAGTACGTTCGCGAATTGTTCTTGAACGACATAGCTGTCGTTGAACTGGATGGGAAGATACGTTTCAGTAACGAGATTGGCCCCGCTTGTCTACCCTTTCAACATTCGCCGGACACTTTTGGTGGCGCCTACGTCGATTTATTGGGTTGGTAGCGTCGACTAACTTCGTTGTAATCGACCTTCTATCTAGAGGCTTCGTGTATCTTACTATCTTAAACAAACTTTCATTGTTGAAATCGCCAGGCTGGGGATCGACGGATTTCGGCGGACCACCGTCCAGCACCCTCCAAAAGGTCACGGTAAGCGTGATCACGAACCTCGAATGCTCGGCTATCTATCCTACCATAAATATAAATAGAGATACGATATGCACCTACGGGAAAGGAAAGGACGGATGCCAGGTACAGCTGTCTTTTTTTACTCTGTAACACAAAAATAATCGAAATTATCCATCGTTTTTGAACGTTCGTTTCGTAGATGGACAGCGGTGGGCCAGTTCTGTGGCAGAATCCCACGACCAGGCGAGTTTCGCTCGTGGGAATTATCAGTCAGGGTAGCGGTTGCGGAATCTCGGCCGGCGTGAACTGCAGAGTCGGCGGTTACGTGGATTGGATTACCTCGGTAACCCCAAGTACGAACGTCGCCATACGTGATTTTAATATGAAGCGCGAAAGCTGCGTTCGCATAACTGGCACGAATTTATTGTTACAGACACCATTTACTGCATGGTCGAATAAACAAACCGTACCTGATCATTTCGCCTCGATTTGACGCGGCGTCGACTGCGCAACTGATCGTCCCAATAGTTTCGTTGACGGAACAACTCGCATTCTACGCAAGCGGATTCTCTGTTTTTATACAGTTAACACAGTTAGTATATTCTTCCTATGGAAGCGACGTAACGTCATTCGAATCAAACGGTCGAAGCTACGTCAATCCATAGGCCAGTCCCCAGGGGCAAAATAATATTGGCAAAGAGAGTAGAGGATTGAACGACGTCCTTATCGATACGAACTTTCTGAATATTAAGTGATCAGGCAACGTGGTATTATATAAAAGTTTACGTATATATTAAGGTCTCTGTACACATATATGTACAGATATGTATATATATATATATATATATGTATGTAATATATAAAAGTAATATATAAAAGTTTACGTATATTTAAGGTCTCTGTACACATATATGTACAGATATGTATATATATGTCCAGAGAACTTAATATATACGTAATCTTTGAAAAGAATTAGAGGTCAACTACTTACTCGAATAACCTTCTATTATTATCAATAATGGGCGAGATAAGCGTTGAAGAAAGCGTATGAAGTGACGCACACTATTTTTTATAGGTTTCCCTATAAATTCACATGTAAATGCTCACCTTAATGCAACAAGATTCTTCTAATTATCTATGGGGATTGGCCTCGAGATTGGAGATGACCGGAGCTTCTATCCGTTATCTAAAATTAATGTATACTCGCGCGAATACATTTACGTTCGTTATATTAAATCTTATTGTTTCAACTCCCCATTTCATCCCCCGCGCACCCTCTTAGTCCATCTGTTTTCCACCCTACCGTTGACCAACCGCGCTAATATTATTTGATGTTTACGTAAGACCGACGAGCTGCGTCGCCGGAGCGTCTGCCTCTTGTAACGCTCGAATCAATCGTAAAAAGGATTCTATACGCGCGAAGCCTATTTTTAGAAGGGGACGAGAAACTACTGGATCCATTAAGCTAGTCCCATTGTAACTGCAACAATCATCCGACTAGACAAGAACAAGGACACTTGGAATAATGAACAAAATATAGAAATCGAAGAAATTGCACTCGTGTAACAATGCAAAAGGAATAAATTACAGTCGATTGATGCCTGAAACCTGAATCGCGTTTCGAGTCGCAGAGATCAATTTATATAAATTCGAATCGTAGAGGCCAAGTGACTGTACTACGGCAGCTTCGAGTTAACTTCTGTGTATATTTTAAATTATTGGGGATTTCCAACGGGAATTGAATAAAACTTCGAGTCGAAGAAGTTCGAATGATCGAGGTGTTTCTGTTTTTATTTTATAATACTTCAAGTTTGGAATACCGATGACTTCTTGTCATTACGATTTTAAAAAAATTGAAGGAATGAGCAAGCATCGACGTTTGAACACTATATTTCGAGAAACGTTCTGTAACATTCCTTCGTCAGCTTTTTTTTCCGAAGGAATCACCAACTCGTGCAATCGCGAGACACCCAGTAAAAATAACTGGAACCTTCGGTCACGAATAGCACACGCGACTCGACTCGCATGCAGGTTTGAAATCGTAAGCGGAATTAATCCTCTTCCCCGCCGAGTCGAATTTTCGCGTACGATTCCACCTAACCGTGGCACGCTTACGCAACTCGTCAACGATTCCACGCACGAAACGAACCGCCAAGAGCTCGCTATCGGCGACCCTTTCGTGCACATCGTTTCGTCCTTAGCGAGCCCACGTGTCACCGCGTACGCGGATGCCACGAAATTAATTGCGCGTAAACAATGTCTCGTTATTAATAAGTTCGCGAATGAGGATGTGACGTGAGACACTTTACGAGAGGGTGTATAGTCTCTGGAGTTGTTCGCTCACGTCTAACCAGCGCCAGTTCTACCGCTTCTATTTAGTCAATATTCGTTTGCTTAGGGGGGGCCCGCTCGATGTGGGTACCTTTACTTCAAACAGTCCAACGAAACACTTTGCCATGGAAAACAATTTTCTCGAGATAAAAAGAAATGAAAATTAGAAACTAAATAAGAGTAAATTTTGTTCCTTTGTGGAACAAACTAGACAAGTTTCGACGTTGATTGACTAAACTCTATCGAACGTTAAACTATTTCTGTTTCAAACCTAAATTAATTTTTTTACATAGGTCCTGAATGCACAAGCGACGATAAATAATGTTTCAGAGGAATTTTACATGAAAGAGAAACATATTTGTATCCCTTCCCTCTGAGAACCTCCACCCTTGATCTTTGTACTCTTTCTAAACTTAACGATCGTTCGCAAATTTCACGATGCTCCTCGATTTCGAGCGCGTAGATCTAGAATCACGCGAGCCGTGGGAATCGAAGGAAATTAATCGCGTTGCGGAAGGCCGGGTCGTGTCGCAATTTCGCCGTATCGAAAATACGTGGTAACCGTCCAGTTCGCGGTGGATGTTTATTAAACAAATTGATTTCTTCGGCGTGCGCTGGTCACGATCTGCCCTTGACACGCTTGTCGAGTCGATGATAGTTCTCGTGAGTAGGTACCCCTCGTCATCTGTACTCGAGTGCTTGTTACGGTCCGTGAAAATTTCGTGCCAGTTACCGTGACATGCAACGTCTATACACGTGTCAATCCAACACGAATCGTCGAACCCGGTCCTCGACGATGCCAATGGCAGTCTGACCTTCGAAACCGTGGATCTGCTCCACGATAACTGGACTGTACGAATTAGGAGAGCGAGCCAAACGGGTCAGGGTGCACTGCTGCCCACTTGACTAGAGAGATGTATATACCAGGTGGTCCCTTATGGTTCTTATGATCCTTTAGGAGAGTATGGAAAATAGTACAAGTCTATTTATAGCAACAAAATTTTGATAATTGTCTGGCTCAGGGAAACGCTACTGGACTACTCTTATTTGAACTTCTGGCAAACGACACTCCTATTATACAAACCTATCCGAGTATACAAATGTTGTTTCTATATACTTTCTTGTTCTATGTCAACCGAAACGTGCGCATATGTGTACAAAACAGAGTTTCCACCCGCTAGGTATCAAGACAAATATTTACTCTACGTCAGACACTACCCCCCCCCCCCCCGGTTACGTAACCCTTTTGTTTCACAATCTCGACACTGTATAAATTGAACATAAAACCATCCCCCCTTCGTTCGTTCTCCGAGACCTTCGAGTTTCTCTTTGCAGACCCCCGTGGAACCATCAAACGTGCCACCGACCCAAAACCTTGAAAACTGGTCGTAGATGCAAAAAAAAATTGCGAGATCAGTGGGTAACAGCGTCGAGGACGAAAATGGCGGGGATTGGCTGCGACGAAGATCGATGCGGAGGCGCGCGCGCGTTTGCTCAGTATAGCACGCGACTCGTTGGCTAGAAACGAAGTGATCGTACTCTTTCGGGGAATGTTTCGCGCACAGAGGGATAAATTAGCGCACGCTGTCCACCCTCACCCTCTGGATCCTTTCGATTTTCACCCCCGTGGCGAACTCGGCCAGTGGAAACACGGACGGTCCAGGAACGCGTCGAACGGTCTGGTTTCGCGGGGAATCGCCGAAGAGACGGACAGTTGGGAGAACGGAAGAGCGTATGCGACATACGCGCGTAATTACCGCGGCCAATCGGGGATTGAAAGCGGTGGAAAGCTTTGTCGTAGCGCGTCGAAGCTCCGGGGTCCGCTTCGTCGGTTGGTTCCCTCGCATGCGTGCATGAACGCGAGCCAGCACGCGCGCGCGCAATACGGCAGCACGACGGTGGTTAGGTTCAGTCGGATATTGACGTTCGCATGCACGGGGCGCGCAGTCAGAGCTCTCTTCAGCCGTCAGGTTTCACCTGAGACACACGAACGAGGAACGATACGCGCGTTCTCCAATTCGCCATCCGAAACCAGGCTGAGAATATCGAATAATCGAGCAACCAGTCGCGCAACGGCGAGCAGAGAAAATAGCCGTTCGCGCGAGAAGGGAGGCTACCGGAACCCGAGCTACATGGCTCCGAAAACCGTCCGTTCGAACCTTCACCGTCCACGCGTCTCTTATTCGCGTTCGAGCGAACCTCGGTTCGATCAGCGGACCGTCGCCACGAAATAATTCCGGACGATCGTCTTCGCCGCGAGAGGAGATCCATCCAGTCCGTCAGCGTCTGACTCGACGACACCTCCACCCGCGGGAGAAAAACGAACGTGACGGAAACGATATGCTGCCCACTCGTTGAATCAAAATTTGCAACGATTAGAGGACACGCAGCCCTTCGAAGCTTATGTCACACGCGATCGAGAACAAGAGCGTTCACGGAAGAAGAAAGAGGAGAAAAGAGGAGAAGATCCGGGTGACCGTGACGACAGGGCTGAGCAGAGCTAGGGCATGCTCCAGGACGATACGACCGTGTCAGCGACGTGAAACGTGAGCTTCCTTCGATTCCTCCGTGTTTGCCAAGTGATCGTCCCCCCTGTGCTCTTGCGATTTCGATGCTTCGACGGCCGATGCCCGCGCTTCCGCGTACGGTAACCCTCCCGACGGTCGTAGCACACGCGTCTCTCTTCGATCATCCCCGTATCGCTTCCTTCGAATCGAGTCGTCGTTCCCGTGAGTTTTCGTTTCGATTCTTCCGTTGATAGACCCTCGTACCGAGGCACCGTTCCCCACGCGAGGCGACGTTGCAAATTGGCGGAAAAATTGCGACCGATGCACGACGACTCTCCCTCGTACTCGACCCTCGCCGTTATCGATTACGCTCGTCGCTCGAGATAGAAGTTTCAATCGTTAATTTTCTCTCCCCGCGAGCCAAGTCGACGAGATCGGGCATTCCGTCGTCGAAACGACGCGTACCGTTCGTCCCCCGGACCCAACGACCATCACCCACGCGATTTTCGCGCCTCCTCGACCGTTCTATCCGTGAGAATCGAGTCGTTCCGGATAATTGCGCGAGTTCTCGAGACGCGACCTAGACGAAGCGCGATATCCGCGCCGCGTGTACCCTGATTTGCCAGAACAGGCGCACTCGTCGCGCCGGTCATGCCTTCCTCGTCACCCTAAGCAATTTTTCTACCAGGGAAACGATCTTACGAATTACGAGATATTCTTATAACGAACGACTGACACCCCTGCTCGGCCTTTGACACCGTCGTCAACCTCTTCGTCCGTTGTTGTTGCCCCCGACGGTCCACAGTCAGCCGTAACCGTCTCCCTCGTCGCCGTTTGTTTCAAACGCTGGTGCTGGTTCATCGAAATCTGAGAAAAATTTAGTACAAAGAGGTAGATACGAATCGCGAAAAGGAGAAGTATATAGTCGACGTGAAAACGATTGCCTGGAGAGACCGCTGTTTATCTTTGGAACAAGGGACTACCAGGTGAAGAATGGTAGTGAAGAACGAGAACACGAGGAATGGGCACGAGTTGGCTCCGTTGAACGACAATCGTCAGCCCGGCCAGAACGTGACGATCGTCGTAAGCGGCACGCAAAATGTAGCCGCCGGTCCAGAGACAAAGGAGGAGAACAGAGCAGCATGGAGCGGCAAGATGCAGTTTTTCCTCAGTATTATCGGATACAGCGTGGGACTTGGGAATATCTGGAGGTTCCCTTACCTGTGCCAACAGAACGGTGGAGGTAAGCTGACTCGAGCATCGTGGGCTCCTAGGGAAACTCTCCGTGTTCCTCTTACGCGATTTCTCCCAAAAACTGGCAAACTTTATCTGAAACGACACGTTTTCGTAAGATACTCGTCACTTTTTAGATAATTTGTTATATTATTCTACGTGAAC